CAGCTCCTGCTCAGGCAGTTCTCTGTGCCCAGGCTGCAGTGAGTTCCTGTGCAGGGCACAGCTTCTCAGCCCCTTTGCAAACCAAGCACTGATGATACAGGAGAAATCCCTCTGCTGTCCTCAGGACTTTTCAAACAGGTGCCTCATTACATAAACACATAATATTTATGTCGCCATGCTATTTTCTGAAAAATCCCTTTGCTAGGATTTTTCTCCTGAGAAGCTGAGAGGCCTCAGAGGAAAAGAAAAACAATGGTTATCTGCTGCTGTGGGATGCAACAGGTGCATCTGTGATTGGTGTCATGTGGTTGTTTGTATTTAATGGCCAATCACAGTCCAGCTGTCTCAGACTCTCTGGTCAGTCACAAGATTTTGTTATCATTCCTTTCTATTCCTTTCAAGCCTTCTGATGAAATTCTTTCTTCTATTCTTTTAGTATAGTTTTAGTATATAATTTTCTTTTAATACAATATATATCATAAAATAATAAATCATCCTTCTGAAACATGGAGTCAAGATTCTCATCTCTTCCCTGGTCCTGGGACCCCTGTGAGCACACCACACTGTGTACATATGCATTTATACCTAATTGTTAATTCTATCCCAGTTGGCAGTTTCTGGTAATGGCTCTTTTGATGCTGCTGTCAGGCACCACTGTGTTCTAAGTGTTATCTCCTGAGAGGATTTCACAAATCACTCAATACGAGATGTCATCACATCTCAATCAATAAACTTGTATCATGACCCTATTAACAAAGAGCCTTCCAGTGGCTGAAACCACATATATTTGTACAAAGGATGGCCTGAAAAGCAAAACTAATCTTGTTTATTGACAGAGCTCAGCTCTGAGAAAGGACAGTCCCTTAACAAATCATTTAGCCAAGATATTTTGCAGAAATGCTGCCACCTTCATGAAGGACTTTCAGAGGTGATTTATTTCTGCTCTCCAGCTACAACTCCTGGTTTTCACTGTCAGTATTTTCTCCACATGGAGCTTCCACTGAGAAGTCAAGGGAGAAAACCAGGGGAAGTATTTGCCATGACAAAGCTGAGCTCCCTTTTTCCTGCCTGCTTTATATGGGCAGAAATCTGGGACCTGATTCTCCCCCAGATCCCTTCCACACCACTTTAGACCCTCCCTGGTGGCTGCTAGAGCTGATTATTTAAATATTCAGAGCTGTATTTCTTTAGTTCTTTGTGCAGACAGAAAAGTGGGGACAGAACAATCCTGCAATGCAGAGAGCACCATGAATCCCCTAAGCTCCCAACAGATGAATAACCAAATATTCCACAGCACCCATGAGAAACCCCAGCTTAGGGAAACCTGACTTCTCACTGCACTCAAGTGAGCTCCTGGTTTCTGAATAAACCCTGTCCTACTCATGCACTCAACAGTCTCAAGCATAAACATTGCTTTGGCTGTATTCATGAGGCCATTTTAACAAGGTTACATTAAAAGTTATTTGAACTGGTTTTTGGCAGAAAGGGAGCTCCAAGGTCAACTGCTCCATTTGTTCTCCTCTCAGGCCTTTGCTCTCTGTAACCACCTCTTACACAGACACACTTCACTTTTGATATCTGCATTTATATGGATCTGAAGCTGGTTTACAGACATACAAAAGATGTTTCTTTCACAGCCTCCATATGTAAAGGAAGCCTGAAAGCCCTGGATTTAAGAGCTATCAATCTGAGAGCAGCACTCCTGCACTCTGGGGAACTGCATTTTACCTTCAAGGGTGCATTAGGTGGGGTTCTGTGCTCTCCAAACAGCTCAGCTGAGTGCCAGGAGCAAGCCCTGTATTCATGGACACCTATTCTCAGGTCACTGAAAATTTCCACTGTGGAAAAATGATAAATACTTTGGTCTTTGGGATCTGCAGCAGAGGGCAGAGCAGTTTCTGGTTTTCTGTCCATAGGTGGCTTTGCAGTCAGGAATAAACCCCTCAAGGAAGTGCTGGGTGATGGTTGTGCTGTCACACAGGTCAGGGGCACCTCAGCTTGTGGTGGCGCTCACAGGGGTCCCAGGAGCAGGGAAGAGACAAGAATCTGACTCCATGTTTCAGAAGGCTGATTCATTATTTTATGATATATATTATATTAAAACTATACTAAAAGAATAGAAGAAAGGATTTCATCAGAAGGCTTGATAGGAAAGGAATGGAATGATAAGAAAATCTTGTGACTGACCAGAGAGTCTGAGACAGCTGGACTGTAATTGGTCATTAATTAGAAACAAGCACATGAGCCCAATCACAGATGCACCTGTTGCATCCCACAGCAGCAGATAATCATTGTTTGCATTTTGTTCCTGAGGCTTCTCAGAAGAAAAAATCCTAAGGAAAGGATTTTTCATAAAATATGTCTGTGCCACTCAGCAGGCTGGGGAAATGGGGGCTGTCCAGCAGGAAAGCAGCTCTGCAGGGCCAGCCCTGGCTCACATCACATTCCTGCTTTTCCTCCCCCTGTTTATATGGAAACACAGGGCTCCCAAATTCCCAAGTTTTGTGGTGACACCCCAAGGATGCCCCCAGGACCTGTGTGGATGCAGCAGTCCCAGCTCACTGCTGCCATGGCCATTTCCCCTCAGCCTCCCCCCAGGCAGAGCCCCAGGAGCTGTGGGGTACCCAGAGCCCATCTCCTGCTCCCCCCACCCCATTCCTGCCCCTGAAATGGGAAAATGGGAACTCTTAGAGGACATCCCTGCTCAATCTGCACCTGGAGCAAACAAACCCCCTCAGTGGCTTTTTGCAAATGCCCTGCAGGCTGCCTGTAATCATATTTACACTGGAGTGCTTCCTTCAGCCTTTGGGAAGTTAACTCTGATTTACAGATTTGAAAATTGAGTCTAGAGCCAAGCTCAGAGTTCAAAAGCTGCTGCTAGAACAGTGTGAAAAAAAAAAAACCCAGACTGTTCCTATTAAATCCAAGTAGCTGCCAGTGGCTCCACCATTTGGATCAAGCACAGGTTTGCCAAGAGCACTGAAATGGAAACAGGCATGTGAAGCAATATTTCCCATATTAAACAGAAATTAATGGGACTTTTTATTTCAGCTCTGGGGAACACACCCTAATTCAAAGGGATGATTAAAAATAATAGTTCATTAATGCAGCTCTGCCCCAGCCCCTGCTCCTATTTGGACATCCAGTCTCACCAGCAGCACCCTGGCACTGCTCACTTTGTAGGAAATATGAAATGCTAGATTTTATTCCTCCTATGTTTTTTACAAAATTATTAATCACATGCAGGGAGGAATCAGGGAGAATATTATTATGGAAACAGCATTTTAGACAGAGTTTGTAAAACATTTGTCATATTGCAGACACAAAGTTAAATTAATATTTATAACATTCCTTGGGAAAGGAGCAGGACAACTCCAGCACAGATACTGGAAATTTTCTGTGCCACTCAAGGCACCTCCCAGCAGAAGCAGGAATTATTTGACTGTGCTGCTTTATGAACAGCTGTGAGAGGAGGTGTTCCCAAGGGACAGGAACATTCCTACTGGCACAAGCAGGGAGTCCTGGAACACAGGGAGAGAAGCAGTGGATAAAAAGTTTTCCAAGAGAAAAAGTTTTCAATAAAAAATTCACTTCTGTCCACATGAGAATTTTTGGGTTTCTTACAGAGGCTCTGATTTTTTTTTGCTTGGAATTAATTCATAAAAATTTCTACCTCCTTTCTCTGCCCTGTTCCATAGATATTTTGATAGTTTAAAAAAAATCTTTTAGACAATCTTGTTTTTTTTTTTAATGCTTACAATCACTTCAGCACAGATGAAAACTTAGCAGGAAAAACTTTAAATTTTTGTATGTGGATTGACTAATTAAAGTGTAATTAGCCTTACCTGTTTAATTATGCATTATAGTGCATACAAAAATAAATCAAAATTTACTGGAAATACTGGAAGCTGTGCTGTGTATGGTGCAAAGAAGATTTCTGCTGAGGAAGCAAAGTATTCATTTATAACAGATTTAAAATCACTCTAAAAACTCAATTTATTTTATTTTTCTTTTATATAACCATAGGTTACACTCATTTTTCCATCCTTTATGTCCAAACTTCCATTTGCTTTTAAGATGTAAGAATGGCTCATTACTGAAGTTGCAGCCCATTTTTTATTTCTTTAACTAGAGCTAATTTTTATGCCATATTCCCCAACCAATTTCTGCACTCCAGATGCTCCTCATTCCTGCAGCATCCTCCTGTTCCCCTTCCATGGCAAGGCAGCTCCTTGCAGCTCTCCCTGCAGCAATTCCTCTCACACACACCCATAAAATCTGACTGTTCCTTGGTGCTGCTGTCCCCTCCCAGGGGATGGGGCACAGCCCAGCACCTGCTTAAAAAGGCTATTTAAGCAAACTCAGATTGCTCCTGTGGCAGAGTTGATAAATATAAATATATATATATATATATATGTATGTATGTATAACCCTCCACCCTGATATTTAACATGGAAACGAGGGCAGTGGTCATGGTGTTTGTGTTGTATGTATATATATTAAACAAAGGACATGGTAAAGCTTAGAAATTTCTGTCTGTCAGGGTAATTTATAAAGATGCAAAGACATTTGTTTGTTTTGGATACAGAGTTTCCTTTGGCAAACTTTCTCCCCAGAGCAAGAAGGATTTTGGAAAGCCCAACACTCACTAGAGGGTCACAGCCCAAGGCAGACAAGGAGAGGCCAAGGGAAGTGTTGGGTCTTGAGAAGCCAAACAGGAAAATCTCCCTGTTGTCCTCAGCTGTCAAATGTCAGAGTACAAGAGAAGACAGAGATGTTATTCTTGAAGATGCAGAGAAAGGACAAAAGGCCACACATATGAGCCCTACCCAGAAAATTTCAACAAAAAATCCTGCAATCCCAGCAGTCAAACATTACACCAGGGCCAGAGAGGCAAAGCATCTCCAGCCCTGAACAAGGCCCTAAGCAGGCAAGTTGCACTAAGCAACCTCCCAAGCTATTTTTGTGATTAAATACAAAACCTTGTTGAAAAGACCCACTGGAAGTAAGGTAATTTTAATTACAGCCATCAATTTGTATACACAATAATGTGTATTTTACATATATCAAGGAAAAAAAAACCATACTGCATTTCAAACTTTGTTTACTGCAATAACAGAGGCAAATAGTCAGGAATAAGGTTAAGCCACTAATATTAAGGAAAGCCACAATGTGTGTGTAAATTGAAGCTACAGAAGCTCAGTAGTCAGAGACATTAATTCCAAATCACAACACCTAACTCACCTCAACCTCATTACATGAAAATGGAGTCTGGATTGCAGGGCTGGATCTAGATTATTATCTAGCACCCATAAGCTTCAGTTCCTATTTACAGTAACAGTTCTGAGATGTTAAACTGCAAGGTCAAGGTAAGTGTTTTAGCTCTCATAACTGCAGCCTAGTTTCACTAAAATTGCCTTAATTAACTTAGAACAGTCTGTGATTCTATAATTACCAGATCAAAATGTCATTTTAAATCGTTCCTCATTTCAGGATATGTGAACACTGAACTAGCTGTAACAAACTTCTAATATTTTCAAAGTCAAAAGTTCATTTTTACTTTAAAAAAAGCCACAATAAAACTCTTAACAGAGGCTTAAAAAGGTCTTTATAAAATAATCTCCATCACACTTACAATAGTAAGAAAATTATTCTGGTTGCTAGTTTTTAGTAAATATGAACTGGTTTGTGGAATTTGTATTAAAGATGGTTATAACTTCAGTTCACATTTCATTTCTTAAAGGGACATGAACAAATGTGTCAAGACCAGTAGATTATTGCTGTTTCTCATCAAGTCCTTTTCACTGAGGACATGCTGCCTTGGTAGGCAAAGCATGTCTGGCAGCCAGCTGGGACAGGAGAGCTGAAGGACACAAGTTTTGATTTGCACGCCAAAAAAACCTTCTTCAATCACCTTACATTTGGCAATGGTACAACAACTGAGCTGATTTAAGATCAAAACTGTCATTCCATCCATCTCCTGAATGACAGTCCTGATCATCTCATAACTTAAGTTTGCTTGAAGTGACACAAGAAGGTAGAATCCAAGTTCTGGAATGGCAGGAAAAAAACCTTTGATGTTTATCCTCTCATATGCAACTCTGAAAATACCAGATGTTCTTCAGAGGGGCTTTCACCAGGTCTGCAGGAGGAATGGGTATGGCTGTGCAGAGAGAACAGAACATGGATATATTGGAAATAGGAAATCCATCAGGTTTTCTATTCCTGCAGTAGAACTGACCAAATTAAACATGCCCCCATTCAGTTTCAAGAGGGCTCAAAAAGATCTAAAAATCCACACATGTTTCTAATCAAACTTTTCATACAACAAGCCTATGAAATGTACTTTCTGTGGACACAAATTGGCAATTACAACTGCAAACAGAAAAAACTCACAACTGCTAATAGGGTGTCATGAATTATGCATTTTAACCAGCTGTTAGATTCTTTAGCTTTTGGTAATAAATTATCCTAATGAGGATGGTGACAGTTTAGATGTCCAAGGTTTAATCTGCTGGTGCACTTCTTTCCATTGTTTTTATGAAACCTTACACTACTGTTTCACAGAGAGCAGCTTCTAGAAGAGCCAAATCAAGCCACTCACACAAAATAAAATGGATGTTGCTGTCAGAGGCACCACTGGTAATAATTACCTTCACACTGCCACCTTTCACATTTGAAGGTCTTAAAAGAACAGAAAAAAAGAGAAAAACCCACAAGTCTGCTAACACTGAAGGAGAATTTTCCATTTCAGTAATTCCTTGTGATGTGATAATATTTAATTCAGAACATGTGAAGACATTTCTTGTCATGTGGAAAAGATTCCTGCTCTTGTGGTGTGCAGCCTTCCCAAGACACCACTTCAGTGCAATCTGCCCTCCCATTTAAGCCTCTGCTATCTGAATCCCAGTCTCAAACACTGTCCAGTCAAACCAGTGCAGAACATTCTGAGCAGTTCCTGATGGAATTACAGATTTCCCTGAGTGTGCTTTGCTGTGTGGAGGTCTCAGTGAAACACCCACAGTCATGCAGTGCCTGCTGCAGCTGAGCAGCAAACTCCTGTGAGCTCTGCACTGATAAATCCTCACAGCCCATCCCTGCCATGAGGCTGAAAGGCATTCCCTCTGCAATCAGATCCCAATGATTTCAACCAGAGCCAGCATAAAGAAATAGCAGAGAAAAAATTCTGCAGCTGTGACTGGAGCCTGTGCATAAGCCATTGTGATGGCTGATCCAGCACTGTCAGAGCTGAGCAGCCAGCTGCTGCCTTTTTCCTTTTACCTCTCCATGCTTTAAAAAAATGCATTTGATCAGCCTTGACATGTTATTTAAAAAAAAAGCTGCTATCAACTGACCATCAGAAGCATTGGTCAAAAGAGTACTAAAACTGCATGATAGCAATGAAAGATACCTAAAATATTCCTCTGAAATGTCAAGCATTTCTCTTCATGCTGGGTATTTATGTACCTTGACATTATCAGCTCTTCTGAAAATGGAGAAATACATCAGAAACTATCTTGTATGATTCCAAAAAGGCAAGGTGCAGATTATTTCTTCCCTGCCTCTCAAAAGAAAGTATTTTCTTTTCTGTAACAACCAGTGATGCAAACTGGTACAATACAGATCCTTAGTCTGGAAACCTACATCTTAAAATAAAAATACCTGCAAGAATATTTCAGATCTAAGATACTCAACTGTAACATGTATTTAATTTCTTTTCAAAGCAAATTTCCATGCTGTGTCATTTCACTTGTTCTACTGAAAGTCTTAATCTATACAAAGATAATAAAATACTGATCTATATAAGGGTCTCATTAATTTATCAATAGGAATGTTTAACACCTTCTTAGGGGACAAACAGCTTTGTGCTGACAAATGTGCACCACTGGTGAAACAATCCAGTATTTACATTCACCAGTGAAACACTTTTGGGGTTCTTTAATCTACTGCACTGTAAATAAAGTTTCATCTTATCCAATTTCACCAAATTTTCCTATTCTTGAACATTCACTGAACAAAAGAACTGAGGGAGAAGCAGAAGAAAGAGATCATAGTTTGGTTGTATTTGTAGCAGCAATTATTATCCAGTACCAAAAGCACTAACATCAAATATCTTCTGGAAATGAAAGGAAGAAGAAAAAGACTTCGTCTGCATTCAAGTTTAGAAATTGTTTTTGTAATCAAAATGACATTTAATGGCTGCATGCTCCATAATTTAAACTTCAGAGGGGAAAGGGAAAGTAAAGACATCTAAGCTGTGGCTGAATTTGATATGAGCACAGAAGTTACATTAGAGCAAACTTACAAATTCATGTTTTTATACATCAATGCTGTGGCTGCTCAGGATTGATATCCATGGTCCTGTATATCTCTTTCAGAAACAGCAAGGCAGTGTCTTCAGATCCCCTTTGAGGAATGAAATAAATAAAACAAAAGGGAAAAAGGGAAGGGAAAAAAAGAGGAAAAGGTTAGTTCAGTATAGTCCATCTTCTAATTCTCCCAAGTCACATTCCAGCCTATTTCAGCTCTCCAAAGAGTGTGCACAACCTCTTGGCCCAGTATTTATTTTTCATTAATATGGTCTTACCCCTACCAGCTTCCTTCAAGCTGTAATTCTACACAAGTCTGGAATTAGTTCTGCTATCAACCCCAGCCTATGCATTTACCTTTTTCCTAGTGCATTTCCTCCTCCTGTCCTCCCTAACTTCCTGTGCTGCAACTCCAAATCCCCTCCTCTATCCTCTTCTTTGGTATTACTTCCTCATCTTAATCTCCTCAAATAATCTATCACTTTTTGTCCTGAGTATATTCCACACTTCATTCTACTCATTTTGTCCCACTCCATCAATTAGCTCAGCTCTAGCAGCAATATTCTAATTCTTCTCTAACTGGCAGGCCCTTAATAGTAAACAGAGTATGTTAAACACCCATAGTCTTCCTGTCTTGCTTACCACTAAAATGCTAGATAGATCTCCAATAATTTAAAGATTAGTATCATTCAAGTGCCATGTTTCCAAGTGGCTGTTTTCCCCCATCTTTTCAAAAATCAAAGCTTCAGGCTGTCTGAATCTAAAGTTAACATCAACAGACTTAATTTTCTTCTTCATCTATAAAATGCTATTTAGACATACATAAGTAATGCAAACATAAAAAAAAACAATGTTAAACAGGCAAATTTTAACAAAGTTCCAGAGCTGCAGGAGTTGTTAGATGAGGGCAGCTTCCTGTGCTTTTTAAAACAAATCACATAGGAAGCAGTGAAGGAGATTTAGATGGTCAGAACTGTAATCCTCCAAACGTGTGGAACAAAATCTGCAGAACACCAGCACAGAATTCAACACACAAGCAAAGGGAATGCATGGATATTCCACAATTCAGCAGACATTCCTTGATGGTCTCTGCATTAAATGAGCAGCAAACAAGCAAGCAGAAGGTTCAACACAGAAGCTCCAATCTCTCCAACACTCAGAGCATTTCATTTAAAGCTCTTCCCACCATTCCTCAGGAAGAAACGCTCTCCTATTCGGGTCATTAATCACTGTGCTTATCTTCCTTACTCGAATGACAAAACAGGCACAGGTACCGAGCATGTAAAATGCTGGCAGTGATCGGCTGCCACCGTGTGGAAGGAATTGGGGTGCCTTCAGCCCTGCCCGTGGAACGACACTGCCACCAGCGGGTCACGCAGCCCGGGAACCCCTCCTCTGGCAGGGGCTGAGCTCCAGCGTCCCAGAGATGATGGCTCCAATGAGACCCTCCAGGTAATGCCTTCAGAGCTGTGCTTTAACCTCTGGAAAAAATGCCTGCTGCTAAAATGACCTACTGAAAATCAAACCTTCAGAAGGAGTGTAGAGCACTCACACCTGCTGAACTCAGAACGAGCCACCAGTCACTCCTCCTCACCAACATCACTGTGCACAGCTCACAGCTGACACCCAAGGTTGGCTTTTACATATCAAAGTGTGTTGTTAAATAGTTCACACATCCTTTGCCAGAAGAAGCAATAAAGTTTTGCCACTTATTGTAGTCTAATAAAAATCCCTCATGAACAGTTTTGTTTGAAAAGCTACAGTTGTGAAAATGCTTCCAGAGTTCTCCTTGTTTTGAAAATGACAGTAGCTAAAAATGTGTGTTTGGAGAGTCAAAGGTCAAGAGAAGAGTGTGCAATGTCTCCATTGCAAACAGATTTCTAACACAGAATTTTCCTTTGAAATAGGATTATCAAACAGTGACATCCAAGCACTGAGCCTGACACTCCTGGACAATCACACACACTGTGTCCCTTCAGCAGGATTTCTGACCACAGGTATGTCCCCTTACCAGTAGCACAGGTGGCTCTGCAAAGCAAACAGGTACTCGTTGAAGCTCTCTATTGGCTTCTCCTGCAGAACGTAATCAATGCGACGCCCTCCGTTCAGCATCCCAACCTTCACTGAAACATCCTCATCCTTTGGAGGCTCTGCACTTTCAGTGATCTTCTCAGCTAAAATCAAAGAGTTTCACATTTAAACTATTTTCAAGCACAGCCTGCTTGACTATAATTAAGAACTATTATCCTTTTTTCCTGCTGTAATTTCCAAGTATTTGTGATAAGAAAATAACAACCTGAACTGCCCAGCATGGTTTAGAAAGTTACTGAACTATAGGCTTATTTCTTTCCTAACAGTTCAAACAGTTTTCTAAAGAAGTAACTGCTGAGTGATCTCTCCCTGAACTCACTCCAACCCACAAAGCTTTCACTGTAATTTCTCTCCCACACCCAGCTGAGCAGGAGAATGACAGAGCAGCTTTGGTGGGAACCTGGCATTTAGCAGAGATCTCCTGAACAGGGTCAGGGAAATCAACAGCAAACACTCCCTGGGATACTCAAGTGTCAACTGATTTGAGACAAGGAAGTTACAGAAAAACCAATAATGTGTCCATGTACCTTCCACCACTTGCTTTTCTTCCTCCTCTTGAATTTGGTTAGCTACTTTCTCCAGCTCTGCTTGCAGCTGGGTTGAAGATGTATGAGCACGTGCAAACTCATTGAGGGTCTGCCATGCACTCTTCAGAGAGCTGATGAAGCCCTGCTTCAGGTCAGATCCCATACGAGACAGAGAGTCTTTCAGCTCTGAGAAAGAAAAAAAAAAACACCAAAAATTTCATTCAGAAGAATTTAAAATTACTAACTAAAATTACTAACTAATATTTAATTCAGGAGGATTTAAAATTACTAACTAAAAGCAGAATGATAAAGTTCTGTTCAATAAACATCCCAATTACCAGCAGAAAC